GAAAAAAACAAGAATAAAGCTCATTACGAGTTCTGGAATGCAGTTGAAAAGGACAAATTTCCTAACTTAATTGACTGTGCTCAGAAGATTTTGTGTGTTTTTGCATCTACGTATGTCTGTGAATCTACATTCAGTAAGCTGAAGTTCATAAAAAACAAGTACAGATCCAGATTAACAAGTGAGAACGTTGACAACATTTTGAGAATTTCAGTTTCTTCTCAACCTGCCAACATAGATGCCATATTAGAAAGTTGTGAAAGATTTCGCCCTTCGACTTCAAAGAATTAAAGTTCAAATTCAAGTAGGCCAAATCATGAAATTAAGTAAAAGACTTTTCCCTACTTTTTTATATGCAAAATGTTTATTTTTTGATGTAATAAACTTAAGTAATAAACTAATGTAATAAACTTATGTTATAGTCATATTGTTTGTAAGTTATTTAACCTATACCTATACAATTTGTACTTGCGGCCCTAAGGAAAATTTGATATGAACTATTTGGCTCCCTCAGAAATCCTAGTGAGGACCCCTGCACTAGACTGACTATTGCTGCAAAATAGTCATACAAAGAAATCAAGGGAACATCCGCATGCGGATGTCCCTATCAATTATAAACATGTATATTCGCAAAGATAAATATTAAATAAAGTGGTGGTGACACAACACCGGGACTTATTTAATTGAATCGATTTTTTCAAAAAAGCCATATCTCCATAAAATTTTATTTTTCAAGAAACGTAAAAAAATGTTTTTAAGATCATAATAAATTTAGACGAAAATTTAATAATGGTTGAATTATTGAATTTCCTTATAAAAAACCAACTATGATGTAATATTGACTATACCTATTGGATTATTTTATGAGAAAATGAACGTGTTTGAGATATGGCCTTTTCCAATGGATTGTAAATTTTCATTGATTATGACCTCGCGACTCTGATCAATTGTTTATTGAATATCATATAAAATTAAATAATTAGTCTTACAAAATATACTGTGCATTCTTTGTAATAATTTTATTTATGAACTTCAACATCACTTTCTTTTAGTTAATGTTTTCTTTTAATACCAATGGTAGACTCAGTTTACTCTTCGAATTCACTCATGTTGACTTATTATTATTTTATAACTGTTATCGACAACAGATAAGACAACATACCAGATGAAAATAGAATCTTAACAAATAAAATTGCTGATCAAGTTATTTTTGGAGAAATGGCCTTTTCGAATTCACTCGTTATTTTTAAACGATAACGAATTGTTGGAAATATGACGGTCTCGCAGGAAATATGCATTGTTATTAGATAAACACATCTATCGCATAAAAGTAGTATTGAAAAAATGTGGAGATGACCGATTCAATTACTATTAACTTTAAATTTTGAGAATAGCTCAAATTTTCGATAAAATTTTTTTGTATTATCGAAATTAATCATTTCAAAAAAAAATCATAGTAATCATTAATATGTAACTTTTGGTATTAAAATAAAATTATTTAAGTAGTATTTTAATAACTTTCAAAAAGTGTTAATTTATTTACATATTATTTATAGAAGCAGCACTGGGATATCATCATGATGCGCAGGATAAAAACATATCTGAATTTATTGATTCAATGAAAAAGTAAAATATTAATTTAATTCTAAACAATGAGTTATTATTATACTTACAGTAACTTGAATAATGACAAAATTGCAAAATTGCAAACAGAATTTTTTGGAGAAATCTCAAATTTTGACTTTTTTAAACAATTTATCTACTCCTAAATGATATCAAAATAATCTGAAAAATTCACAGTTTATTTTTATTACAAATGAAAGTTAATGTCATCTCGGAATTTTAATAACTCAAAAGAATTTTTCATCTGTGTTTTAAATAATCGCTTCAGAGAGTTAAAGTTGTCTCGTTTAATTTTAATTGATTTGATAAAATCAATTTTATATTCAATTATTAATCAATGAACATTTTTTAAGAATTACAGAGCAAATTAATGTGAGACTTATTAAGCCATGGCTGTATCCTGATTTTATTTTTAATATTTATGGAAAATTTACAGGCTTGAATCAATTGTATGAAAATTTATTTAAATTTCCGGAAAAAGTGAGTTTTATAATTTATATTTAAAAAAATACACCCATCAGAGGCTTTACTGTACTCTACTGAACTGCGTTCGAATAACATTTTTGTTATTTATTTTTAATAATAAAAAACCCAGCACAATTTAAAATCGATTTTCATTAATTTAGTAATTTATACGGAAAAATTATAGAAATATTAAAATATTTTATATTTTGTTACATCGGCATGTTTAATATACATACTATATAAAATACATACTTAATTACAACGCCTATCAATGAAAAACTGAATTAAGGTCAATTCACCTATATTGAACGTCAACGTCACGTCAAAATATCTAACCATGTATTTGTATTGTATTGTTCACATACACCGGCCACGTTACGTAACGTCAACATTACGTAAATAAATGGTTACTTTATTTTTGGCGTGATGGTGACGATCTACAGAGTGATCGAAATCTGGTAAGACACTCATTTTCTCAGAAAAATTGAGAATTTTTTTATTTTATTATAGAGAAAAAATATCAAGTTCAAAAAACTCTACAATAATATGTAGTCAAACCATTATTTTTTTCGTCCCTTCAAGGATAAAAACCTTTATTTATAATAAATATGCTTAAATGGGAACCCTTATTTTTAACTTTATAATATGATAAAAAAAAAAATTACAAACAATTTTGTTCTTATAATTTTTATTATCCGATTGACCGTTCGTCCGTTACAGCTTGTTAAAGTTCAGTGATTTTAGGCTAAATTTCTATTGTCATTTTACTGTATTAAATACAGAAGTCATTATTTTTATTTGCTGTTGCATAAACCAAATTTTATTGATCAAGTTATGACAGGTAAATTAGCTACAAAAATTTACTACGCACTAAATGAGTGATAACAATAATAGATTCAAATCAGGTTTTCGGTGTATTATTAATAGCTAAGAGTCTATGATTTTGTAAGACTAAAGAATCTAACAAAACTACCGGTTGCACTACCACCGATATTATGAAACGTAATAAATGACAATATTTTTTCTTGAAGTCAAAATCTTTAAACAATTATAAAACCTAAACGGTTGTTCGGATAAAAAAAATTATAAGAACAAAATTGTTTGTAATTTTTTTCTGTCATATTATCAAATCAAAAATAGTGGTTTCCATTTAAAAAAATTATAAATAAACATTTTTAACCCTGAACGGATAAAAAAAAAATGTATTTAACTTCATATTATTGTAGAGTTTTATAAACTTAATATTTTTTCTTTTTACAAAAATTTTAAATTCTCAATAGTTTCTGAGAAAATAAGTGTCTTACCAGATTTCGATCACTCTGTATAACGTGATGTTGAAGTTCGTATAGTGTGAGTCAACCATAAAATGTAAATTGTTACAGACAATAAGAACAATTTATCTGTTTCCTTACATACTGAACATTCTGTATAACTCCAAACGAAATAAAACAAAAGTCAACACATCAAACATGACTTAAAAACGGAATTAATAAAAAACAAAAATAAGCAGAAAACTATAAATATATTGATGATTCATTATAACTTATATGATAAATTTGTGGTTTGTATAAAATTTATTCATACCACTGATAATATTTAATACGAGTAAACCAGTGTAAATCAGTATTTCTTAAAATTAAACTATGTAAGGGAAATTCTCATAGACGAAAAATGACAGGTTAATTACTAATAAGGTAAACAAATTATCAATAACATTTATCGCAAATTGTAAAACACAAAAAATTGATGTTGTTTAAATATCGCAAACGAAAAACATAACTCCATAACGTTTAAATTATTTATAATGTAAAACGCAATAATATTGTTAACGTTTTAACTGTCATAACATAAAAATAAAATATATAATTTTGATTCAAGCCCTGATTAGTATATCGTGTATACAACTCACATAAAAATGGGTACATACTTAACTAATAACGCTATACTTATTAGATAATTAAAGAAAGAAAAAGCCAGTATGCTCAAAGGAAGAAAACCAACCACAGTTCTTTAAACTTAACCAATAATGAAGGTAATGTTCTAGTTAATTTATATTTCATTTATTTATGAAATAAATGTTGATGACCATTGTAGAAAAACAAAGACCAATATTTTTGGATTTATTGTTGGAGTTAAATGATGAAGGAGCAAATTTTTCAAACAAATATTTAAGAGATGAAGTAGTAACTATGATGATTGCAGTAAAATAAAATTATTAAATCTTAATAAATTCTTTAAAACCCCAATTCATGTAATAAAACTATTTTTTTAATAGGGCAGTGAGACTATTTCTATAAACGTATGTTTCTGTATTTTAATGTTAGCTATCTATCAAGACATTCAGGTAATAATATTACCTGTATAAAACTGTATATTATACAGTTATGAATGATCATCAATATTTTATCATATTTAAAATGTAATTTCAAATTTACAGGACAAAGTCTATAATGAAATCTACCAAATAATGGGAGAAAGTGATCGAATTATAACAATTGAAGATACTGTTAAGTTTGTATATCTGGAACAATGTATCAAGGAAACTCTTCGATTGTACCCTGTAACACCAATAATAGTGAGATATCTTCAAGATGATGTCAAAATAAGTAATTTTTTCTGAGTGTATCATTAATAAAATCTGCTTTAATTCGTGTTGTTTGTTATTAAGGTAACTACACAATTCCAAAAGACACTACTATTTTTATACCAATAATAGTCACTCATCGTTTAGCAGAATTGTATCCAAACCCCTTGGAATACAATCCAGATAATTTTGATCCAGAAAAAGTTGTTAATAGACACAAGTATAGTTTTATTCCATTTAGTGATGGACCTAGGAACTGTATAGGTAAAATATGAGATATTGTTATCATCATAAAATAAATATAACCATTTCGACATTTCTAATAATTTAGGACAAAAGTATGCAATGTTATTAATGAAAGTTCTGCTAGCAACATTTTTACGTAACTATAGTGTTCATACTAAATACAAAATGTCTGATATAAAGTTAAAATTCGAATTATCGATAAAAAACGCTGATGGATATCAAGTAACAATACGCCCAAGAGACAGAAAACCAATTTACAAAATATAATTGAATTAAAAAAAAAAAATTTTTTTTTAAATAGTATAACAAATTTATTATGAGTAATTGATAATATTTTTTCATCATTCAACTAGTAATTATTTTAATAGATAGAATGAATATGTAACGTCGGTGAAGTATTTTGACTATTTTTAAATCTAATAAAAATACCAATTTTTTTTTTTTTGTATTAAAAATAAATAATAATAATTAATTTGTTTGTAGTTTAGAATGCAGAATGTTTTAAAAATAAAATAATTGTGAAATGGTTATCAAATAAAAAGTTATAAGAGCTGTCAGTTAATTTTAGCCAACAATTGAAATCGTTATTTTTAAAATTGCAGTTTAATCAACAAAAACAATAATTTTAAATACCTATTATGCATATTTTTCATTTAGCAGGTAGTTTATATACTTTTAAAACATATTATATACAGGGTGGCCCACCACTCACTGACAACTTANATATATACAGAGTGGCCCACCACTCACTGACAACTTAAATAACTTTTGATCCAGTTAATATTTTTAGCTGATTTTTTTTTTTAACATTAGTTAGACGTTAGGTTAGGTTGAAATACGTATTGAGAAAAGGACAGAAGAAAAGCTATCTTTTCAATATACTTTTGAATGAGAGTGATAAGTAATAATTGCCTTATCTAATTTCTTATCATGGTATTTATGCCAAGTTTGTAATGTATACTCACTATCATCATATGTATACACAGTAATCATGAAAAGATAGCGTTTTCTTCTGTCCTTTTCTCAATACGTATTTCAATGTTTATAACCGTAAAATAGTACATGAAAATTCAAATTTTTACAAACTTCAAAACGCTACAGAATATTTACTACTGAATATTAATAAGATATTTTTTTACTAAAATTTTTCTTAAATTCTACTCTACAAAATAGCTATCTTAGATTTTTTTTTTACATTTTATTTAAAATTTAAAAATAATTAATATTTTTAATAAAATGTAAAAAAATTAATTATTGAGATATAGCTATAGACCTAACGTCTAACTAATGTTAAAAAAAAAAATCAGCTAAAAATATTAACTGGATCAAAAGTTATTTAAATTGTCAGTGAGTGGTGGGCCACTCTGTATATAAAGTTCGTTAAATTTTTTTTTTAATAAAATCATATCATATGGATCATTTGTATTATTTTGCTCTATAATAAAATTAAAATATTGCCCCAAAGTCCAAACCTTAACACTAATTTTATGTAAATTAAATTTTTTTAAGTTTAAATAAAATATTATGTATACCGCGATTTCTCCTCTATGTCCTCAATTTTACTCATATTATAAACATATAAGAAAATTGAGAAATTATACACACAGACACAATTTTTTCTCTCTCTCTGGGGAGATTATTAAATCAGAAAATTTGATAACTAAATAAAATTATATATATATATATATATTGCACTAACCTTGGGTCTTCCGGCTAATGGTTTCAAGTAATCCTTGTACTGTAGTGATCGATGGACCTCATTGACGCAAAATTACACGGACACACAAATTTCGATACATTCGAGTTTGGCGCCATTTTATGTCGCACGTCGGTAGTACCCCGACGTAGACACAAAACGTAGTACACAAATTAAATAATGTTTTTGACGACGAGTTCGTCGTTTTTAGCTCTTCTCGAGTCCTCCCGTTGGATACACTGATCAGCCCCAATCCCTCCAATTAGTGAACTACTAAAGGGTAAAAGGGTAGAGTTTAGACCCGTCAGTTGATAAAATTGACAATTTAAGCTAATTTAAATTTTAAACTTACTTTTTTCAAATTAAAAGCAGCAAAAAAATTTTAATTTAACTTTAATTTCTGCGTCAATTAGTTTTATATAATATTCATGAAAATCAGTGTACTCCCCTTATAAGGTATTTTAAAATAAATTAAAATACAATACCAATTATTTGAACACAAAAATAGCATATTTTTAAATATGGTAGCCATTTTTAAGGCTTCGATACAAAAATTTTAAGAAGATAATTTGTGGTTAACTATAAATAAATGGTTTACAAGAAATTTTCTTTAGAGTCAAATATATACTTTTATAAAACATACAACTTTTATTAGTGCCACTACTCAAAATTATATGATAAAATGTTGTAGGGATATTTTAGTAAAAAGATAATAGCATAAGTAAATAAAGCTAAATACTTTTCTATATTAGCAGACGAGACTACTGATACTAGTAATGTTGAACAATTATCAATTAGTAGGTAGATATAGAAACCAAAACAATTGGAGAAAATTTTGTTCAGTTTTTGAAAGTTATTGATTTGAGTAGAAATGCTATAGGAAAAGCTATATAATATATATAAAGTTATAATTGAGCTGTTAAATAAAATAGGTTTAAGTTTAAATAATTTAAAGGATATTTTGGGGCTACTAATATGTCAGATAGAATTAGAGGAGCTGAAGCTTACATTACAAAATATCAACCTCTTGCTACATTTGTTTACTGTTATAGTCATTATTTGAATTTAGCTTTAGTTAAGTCATGTTCTATTCAACATGTAAGAAACGCAATTGGAATTTTTGAAGAAGTAACCAACTTTATTATAGACTCTCATAAACAATTCGAAATGTTCAATAGTAAAATTGACGAACATTGTCCAAGTATTAAAACAAACATATTATTAAAACTATGTACAACTAGATGGGTTGAACGTCGCCCAAAATTTAATTATATGTGCATTACCTTTACAAGTCAATTTCAACTTTTGATATTTGTGTAGCAAGAGGTTCATTTATTTTTTTAGCTTTCTTTTGGACAATTTTAATAACTAATACATCAGAAGAACACGATTTTAATCATGTTGAACTTATGATTACCAGATATTGGAACAAAATCCTTTCATTTTGTCAATTAACACAAATATCACAAAATTATGCTACTGTAAATAATGGTCTCTTCAAAATAACTTTTTTAATAAAATATCTTCAAATTAATAGGAGTATAAAATTGGTTCTTATATTGAATTACACAGTAAAATCACATCACTAAAATATACTATTTATAAATAATGATAGACCAATATACAGAGTGGCCCACCACTCACTGACAACTTAAATAACTTTTGATCCAGTTAATATTTTTAGTTGATTTTTTTTTTAAATAATAGTTATACGTTAGGTCTATAGCTATATCTCAATAATTAATTTTTTTACATTTTATTAAAAATATTAATTATTTTTAAATTTTAAATAAAATGTAAAAAAAAAATCTAAGATAGCTATTTTGTAGAGTAGAATTTAAGAAAAATTTTAGTAAAAAAATATCTTATTAATATTCAGTAGTAAATATTCTGTAGCGTTTTGAAGTTTGTGAAAATTTGAATTTTCATGTACTATTTTACGGTATTAAACATTGAAATACGTATTGAGAAAAGGACAGAAGAAAACGCTATCTTTTCAATATACTTTTGAATGAGAGTGATAAGTAATAATTGCCTTATCTAATTTCTTATCATGGTATTTATGCCAAGTTTGTAATGTATACACACTATCATCATATGTATACACAGTAATCATGAAAAGATAGCGTTTTCTTCTGTCCTTTTCTCAATACGTATTTCAATGTTTATAACCGTAAAATAGTACATGAAAATTCAAATATTTACAAACTTCAAAACGCTACAGAATATTTACTACTGAATATTAATAAGATATTTTTTTACTAAAATTTTTCTTAAATTCTACTCTACAAAATAGCTATCTTAGATTTTTTTTTTACATTTTATTTAAAATTTAAAAATAATTAATATTTTTAATAAAATGTAAAAAAATTAATTATTGAGATATATCTATAGACCTAACGTCTAACTAATGTTTAAAAAAAAAATCAGCTAAAAATATTAACTGGATCAAAAGTTATTTAAATTGTCAGTGAGTGGTGGGCCACTCTGTATTCTTTACTAAACCAAATTTTTAAATTTGATTTCAAATCTAAAATTAGATTTTTTCTATTACCTAATTTTTAAAATTATTACTTACTAGAAATCCAATATTTCCAAATGAAAAATATTTACTAAAAATAAATTTTTACTAGTACATAAAAATACACAATGCATTAACAGTTTTTACTATACTATATTATACATTATATGGAAATTCCTCAAAAAATAATATTTTTAAAATTGATAAATTTAGACATTTTTTTAAATTTTTAGCTTCGATGCGAAGCTGAGGAGGTATTAATTTTATTATAATGTGTTTTTTTTTGTGTGTCACTTTTTCTCAGCTCTCACCGGACCGATTTCTTTCTACTGATACGATCACATTTGCAAATAAAATCGAGAATTTTCACACAATAATAGCATTCGGTACCCATTTTCACCATGAAAACAAAATAAAGTCCGAAATTTTTTTTTTCCATAATAAAGTATATTACATTAGCTTTAATTTAATATATATATAAAAGTGTCAAACTTTCCGGAACATTTTCAAAAGTCAAGTTGAAAAAGTTAATTTTTTGTAAAAAAGTTGTCTTTTTAAATCCCTCCCTGTGGGCAGGTAAAGGGTCAGATTTACAAAAAAAATATACTAAATGAAAGGTAATTATATCATGCATTTACATAAAAATTATATTGATTCGGTTATTATTAAAAAAGTTATGGCAATTTTAAGTAAAAAAAATTGAAAACATTTCAAAATTAGCGATTTTTAAATTTGTAATTTTTTTGTAGATTTCCCCCATTTACGGGGAACGAGAGAATTTTTTTCAATTTTTGAGGGTAATGTCTTAGATACAACTAGATCTTTTGACGTATCATTGAATGAAATCGGTTCGGTGAGAGCTGAGAAAAAGTGATAACAGACACAAAAAAAAAAAATAATAAATAAACACATCTTAGTAAAACCTATAACTTCTCAGCTTCGCATCAAAGCTAAAAAGAATATATACCTCCAATACGTCAAGAAAATGGCACCTTAGCCATAACGGATCAGGGTAAAGCCAACATTTTAGCGGCACAATTGGCAAGAACATTTACTCCCAATACTAATTTATACTCAGACAGTAACTTCAATGAAGGAATAAAAACCTTCTTAACAATTCCACTGCCAATGGTTTTACCAGCCAAATATACAACTCCACGTGAAGTAGAGTATTTAATAAAAAAACTTCCTCTAGGGAAAGCGCCCGGTTATGTCATAAAATTTAAAAAAATGTATCACAAAAAACCATGCTTTTGTTAACATACATTTACAATGCGATGCTAAGGTTATCATATTTTCCTATAATCTGATAATTCGCAACTATTATTTTAATATCAAAGCCAAACAAACCAAAACATATCTCTACGCCTTACAGACCAATAAGTTTATTACCAGTGTTAGGAAAACTTTTCGAAAAAATATTACTCAGAAGACTACGTCCTATTCTATTATTACATAATATTGTACCAAATAGTCAGTTTGGGTTTCACAAAAGACATTCAA